TAGCAGTAGATAAAAAAAAATAGCAATTCTAGTTATGAGCTTAGCATTTCTTTTTGTTCTATATGAGCTAGGCCAAATTTAAACAAACCAAAAGAACACCTTGGAGTCTAAGATATTGCCAGCACATACAGTTGCCTGACTCTGTAGTACAAATGACCCCAATGCATTATATAGCTGGAATTCAAGCAAGTATGATTTGTTAGCTTGTTGTCTGCTCCCGCTGATTGACCTAACTGGATAAAATGACTACTGACCTCTTTCTGGTTCTGGATTGTGATTCACGTCAGTATTTTCTCCCATAAACAGCATGACTAATAAACTAATCATTCATGCTTATCAATCACAGCTTGAAAATCTTGGCCATAGGCCAGATTTCAAATCATTGGCACGTCGATTACCTTCCTTCTTGAGGGGTGGCAATCCTCTCGGCTAAGCAATCAGCAAAAAGCACGAGAGAGCCACATGAATGCACTAATTGCAATACTCCGGTGAAATGCATCCTGGAAAGGAATATTCCACTATTAAGTTTAGATGTTTATGAAGGGAGAAAACATTATACCATAAAATAATGATAGAAAACAAAAATGTGGTTATAACAACTTCCAGGATTTCAGATTGGAGGAAGCAATCGTAACATACATTCTTTAACAGAAGGAAACTTCTTTTTTCTAAATGTGCTTAAAAATATGGTAAAATAAATGGGAAAAAAAATTTCTTCACAGAAAAATATAAAATAAATGTAAAAGCAATCTTCTCACAAAGTTCTCAATCAAAGTATTGATATAAAAGGTTTACCACGAAAGAGTTTTCTGAATACAATGAACAATAGTCTTGCATTGTGCATGAGTTGATCATCTCCCCAAGCTTGCTACAAGCCAACACAAACCCGAGGTTCTATCTCATGGCTGCCTTCTTGATCTACATGAATAAGGGGAAATGAAAATAAAGTGAAAATAAAAAAAATAAGAATCAGAATAAAAGCTGAAACCGGCTCAATTAAAACCAATATATCACAGAAAACAAAAGCAGGTGGAGCAAATAAGTTTAAAGGCAAGAAAACGCTGATTCAGACACACTTTGTATTTATCTCAATTCAATACAGTGACTAAGATGTCTTTTCTAGCAGTAGAAATTATACCACTCCCCAACCCATACAATAAAAAAAGAAAATCACTCTATTGATTGATTGGAAATATTGATTGGTAAAGAATGGGAACATTTATCAAAAAATACCTTTCAAATCATCACTGACAGTTTCAGGAGGCAATGAATCCAAAAGAGGTTGATATCCTTCATCTTTCATCAAATTAGTTAACAGTTTTAACTCCAACCGTATTTCATCAATTTGCGGGTGCATGTTGTCTCCAACAACAAATACATGAGTCAGACTTTTCAACTCAATCCAGCTACAACCAGGTTCTTTAGTCACCCCTCGGGCTTTCATCATTCCCCTGACACGCTCCACATCTTCCCACTTTCCTAAAGCTGTATATATACTTGATAACACATAAGCAGATGATTCCGGTGAGCCTAACTCCATTAGTTTCTCTCCGGCATAAGCCCCAAGATGGTAGTTACGATGGTTCCTACATGCCCCTAATAATATGCGCCACAAACACAGACCATGATCAACCGTTGCTGATTCAATGAAATCTTTTGCTTCGTTGAGTTTACCAGCACGGCTCAAGATATCAACCATGCAAGCATAGTGCTCTACAGTTGGAGCAACGTTAAACTCATCTAACATCATCTTAAAATAAACCCACCCTCTGTCCACCAGTCCCATGACTACAAGCAGAGAGAAGATTCACAAACGTGACACTATCAGGCTTCGTTCCCTCTGAGCACATCTCCTCAAACAACTCCAAGGCTTCATTGCCGCGACCATTTTGAGAAAGTCCAGATATCATTGCATTCCACGAAATCACATCTCTTGCAGGCATCCTCCAAAAGATGCGATACCCATCATCCAAACTTCCGCACTTGGCGTACATGGCAGAAAGAGCACTTCCAACCGGAACCTCCAAGCTGAAACCATACTTAATAATCCTGCCATGCATTTGCTTTCCCTGATCTAATGCTGCCAGGCTAGAACAAGCCTTTAGGACACTCGCCATAGTTAAGTCATTGGGGATAACTCCCCCCATCTGCATTTTGCCGTACAAATTCAAAGCACCTTCATAATCCCCATTTTGCACGTACCCCGTTATTATGGAAGTCCAAAGAACAACATCACGTTGCTGTATAAACTCAAAATTCTTCCGAGCATCCCCTATGCTACCACATTTCGCATACATGTCCACCAAAGCCGACAAAACATACAACTGCAATTCATACCCCAACTTCAAGGAATAACCATGCATTTGTCTCCCTTCCACAATAGCACAAACATCACTGCAAGCATTGATCACCCCAACAAGAGCAAATTCAGTAAGAAACACACGAGAGTGATGCATATCATAAAACAGCTTCAAAGCCTTATCAGCATCCCCACTCCGCGCAAAGCCAGTGACCATAGCCGACCACGTGATCGAATTCCTATTCCCCGACAACTCAAAAGTCCTGAGCGCATCCTCCAAGCTCCCACATTTCGCATACATCGTGACAAGAGCATTCCCCACAGACACAATGCAAACCAACCCGTTTTTCATGGCAAGAGAATGAACCTGCCTTCCAGTGTCAACAAACACGTGACTCGTCAAAGCGCTAAGAACACTAGTGAGAACAAACTCATTTTCACCCTCTTCTTCGCGACGCATGAGTTCAAAGAGCTCCAGAGCCTCGTTTGCGAGCTCGCGAGAAGCGTACCCGGAAATCATGGTGGCCCACGAAACCGCGTTTCTCTCGGGCAATTCATCGAACAGGTGACGCGCCTCCGAAACGAGGCCCGTTTTGCAGTACATGTTGAGGAGGGAGCTCGCGGCGAAGACGTCGTGGGAGCATGCCGTTTTGACGGAAACGGCGTGGGCCTGGAGGCCGGCGAAGGTGTGGGCGTTGGGGAGGGTGCTGTGTGCCATCATGCTGCGGAAGAGGCGCACGGCGTGTAGAGAGGTGGCGTGGGATTGTTGCTGGGAGAAGGCGTTGATGAGAGAGTTCCATGAGACGACGTCTTTGTGGGCGATGGTGTGGAACACGAGGGTGGCTTTGGCGATGTGGCCGAACTTGGCGTAGAGGGTGAGGAGGGTGTTGGCGAGGTAGGTGGCGGAGATGGAACCGGTTCTGAGGATAAGAGCGTGCAAGGCTCGACCTTTACGGAGGTCTTTGTGGCGGGTGCAGTGGAGGAGGGCTCGCAGGAGATGGGCGTGTTGGGGAGGAAGTGGAAGAAAAGGCATCCACTTTGGTCGCAGTCACACCTATCGATTCAACAAATGAAGCGCAATCATGATGTTCATGTTATTGTTACATACTATCTACCCACATTTCACCGCTAAGCAATCTGCCAACCATTTTGTCCTTATGGGGATCAAGTACTAACAATTTTTCACTCATGGATGAGTATACGAGAATAGACTTCAATGAAATATCAAATTACTATTTCATTACAAATCCACTAGCGAGTCTTTTTTTCCAATGTCAAAGCATAGAAGGAGAAAAAATTAGTAATTTTTAATTGTCTTTTTACACATCAAAGGATCAATTATTGAATATTGATGAGATCTTCAATTAATTATGTTTTATGATCGAGGCATATCAGAATTATAAGTGGGAAAGATGTACTAAAGGTTAAAAAATAGTTAATAATGAAGATAATAAAGTGAAAAAAGATAAATCTTTATTCTCTATAAATATAATTATTAAAGAATAGGTAAAGAATGACCTAAACTTTTAGGTTACTTATTAAATTATTAATATAATTAATTATGTAAAAAATTTGATTATTAATGATAGTTCTATAAATAGTCACTTCTTATGTCTCTTATAAAAAAGTCATTTTTTATCTTACAATTTATAATTTTTTGAATTAGAAAAGTCTCACTTGTGTGCCAGTCCTTTTGAGACTTAGTTAGATTCTTAAAAGTAAATCCAAATTTCTGTAACCATTACTCATGAATAGAAAACTCATTTTCAATTATTCAACTTATTTTGCAAAAGTAGTAATGAGCTTTATTACTTAATAAAGTTTAAAAATGTTTATTATCAATTCCAAATATACTATGTTCATATGTTTAATTTATAGTTATAGAAAAAAAATATAGCTTCTAAAAATTTAGAATATTTAGAAGTAGTTGAAGAAGATGAAAATTATAAGGAAAATATTTTAATATATCCATAATATTTTTAGGAAAATACAAAAAGAAGAGTTAGATCTAAAAGACGGAGCTAATATTGAAGAAAAAAAAATTAAAGACTATTATGAATTTATTTCATCAAAGAGAGAATATTATCTATTGTCAAAAAATTATACGTGAATAATCATCAATTTATCTAAGCACAATTGACAATACTTGTTTACAATTATTATCCAACAAGATAATTTCAAAAATTAACTAATAAATAAAAAACAATTTGTATAGAAGAAAGATTGGATATATACATATAGGAGTTGTTTAGGTAATGATAAAATTCACTTTTCAAGAATACATATATTCTCCCATAGAACTATTATTAATAGATGATAGAATAATGTATATTAGGAGTAGTAGAAGAAAATTTAGTTTATGAAAAATTAAAATTTGAAATATTCAAATATTAAAATTCCATTGAGTACTAAAAGACTAGAATAATCACTAACCTTTAAAATACTTTTCTTAAAAAAAATTAACAAGACCTAGAGATGAGATATTTTCGATAACTTATTCATTAAAAAATTATAAAATCCATTGAATTAAGAAACCTAGATATGTTGTACTCGTGGAGATCTCCAATCTTCACTTAACTTTAATCAGATATATAAGTTTGTAACGGTTGATTCGGACGAATCATGCATTTTTGTTTTCTCAAAGATGAAATCATGAAATGACGTGGTTTCACTTGAACAGTTGTAAAAATAATTATAAAAAAAAAAAAAAAAAAGATAGTTCAGAATTCACATTCAGATGAAAGCTGAGTCGCGACTCGTTTTTCTGGAAATTGGAACAAAACCCTGTCACACAGCTCACGAAAGACAAAACTCTCACGGCAGCTCTCCTCTCCCGTCTCCGCCCCGGCGTCACCAATCAGCGCGGCAGCGCCGCTCGTATCTGAGTTTTTGTCTAACTTTCGGGGCTCGTCTCTCTCTGTCTCTTCATCTAATGTAAGTGGTTAATTGCTTCATCCTTGTGCTGCATATACTTGGTCTCCCCATCTATTTTTTCCGTCAATTGCTTCAACCTTATGTTGCACAGTGCACATGCTTGGTCTCCTCATCTTTCCGATATATATCCATTAAGATCAGCTTTATTGTTTATTGGTGTATTCACTATTGATTTCATTAACTTATAGTGGTGCTGTGGTGGATAATTAATTGTATACTAGCTATATATGTTAGAGATTAGAGAGTAATAATTAATTAGAATAATGAGTTGAATATACTCTGCTTCTTTGACGGTTTTGGGCCACCATTTTCCTCGATTGTTTCAAGTTTCAACACTCTGCTTGTTTATTCTTAGTGGTTAGTGTGAACTGTGAAGGTGTGTGCCGACTCACTGATACAATTTACAAACGTTGTTGTAACTAGTATCACTAATTTGTGAGCTTCAACTGAATGACAATGACTTGAGAATATGCACCTCAAACACACTTCTCGTGGTTGCCGAGAAGCCAATCATAACCCTCTCTGGTAACTGAAACTGATATCTCAAATCAACTATTTATGAAATGAGTTGGGTTTGGACTCGGACTGAGACTCATGTCTCATACACTATACAAAGGGGGAAACATTTTTTGTGAAGCTCACGTTGGCTTGCATGTATTCTTTAGTATAAGTTAAGAATAGTGAAGGGTGTTATTGTCTTTTTATTCCACAATTTAAGGGCCAATAGTATTCCACATCTGTCAAAGATTCACCAAAGATATATGTCAGAGGTAGAGATGCTAAAGCAATTATTCCCAGGAAGAAGATACTAGCAGCAAAAACCAGCATTGGCATTGACATCTTTGTTCTTTCCACCTTCTATTGGTGAAAATACACAATGGAGTCAGTTTTTTACAGCAGTATCATGTTCAGGTTCTGCACTATTGTGCCAATTCTCCAAGTATGCATGTTAGGTGGTTATTTTCAAACCACATTGACACTTGGTGGTTGAGTCAAGTCATTGACTCATTGTTAGCTTCTACTAGTTCATTCACTTAAATGGTGCACATGCTCATATTTGTGTTGCATTTGCTGTTATTTGCGTCACTTAAATCATTTTTTTTTATTAAATTTCACTTGTGCTTTATGTTTAGCTGCCACAAATTTGTGTTGATTTTTTTTATTTTAAAGAAAAATTGTTGGTTTTTAAAATGTTGAATTTCTTGTAAGAGTTTGAGATGTGAATGCGAGACTGAGAGGTCATTGGATGGTGGATGATTGGGTGCTTATTAGCAATCAAATAAAATGATGAAAAGAAAGAAAAAAAACACCAAATTTGTTGTGATGACCCTTTGCGTTGCTGCTAAATCTGTGTATCTTTTCTAAAGATAAAAGGTGGTTTTCTTTTGGAAAAGACATAATGCATGCTTCGGTGCTCCTTCTAAGTAGGGGGTTTCCGTGCCCATCTCTTTTCTATCCATTGACATAGTGACACGTGTATTAGTTGGACATGTCATGATGCCATTTGAATTGTTGACCGGACACATCATGCCACTCTCTACTTCAACTCCTGGATCTTCATCGCTGGGACGAGTTTGTTTTGCTTTGAACAGTAGATTTTGACAATCGGTGACACCACGCCTACCGCCACCCCACCCCCGGAGTCTGAAACTGTGACCCAGCTCCTAGCCCACATAATGCTCCTTCTTCAGCACCGCGCCGCCACGCTGGCTGCCCTAGATGTGGGGCTAGGGTTGAATGGGGCAGGCTGACTCATTGATGGCTGTAGTGTGGAGATGTTTGTTTAGTGGGGGTGAAACAGTTTTATGATTTTATCATGCAACTCTCACCCCCAAGGTGCACCTTTATTTGGGACCGATGAAAATGCTTGATCAGAAGTAATTTTGGTAGTGTTTTTATGAGGTGTTTTTGCATAATGATAACATAGGTCTTAAGTAGTTAAGATTGAGTCACTCTTCACTCTGTACCAAATATTAAATTAATATATGTTCATGTCTTAATTATTATTGATCTATATTTCGGTTTTGATCCCCCCATCCTTAATTGATTTCTTTATCTCTCTTGAGTTTATTATTTGGATTTAAGGTAATCAAGATGGCTTCTGCAGTAATACTAATCAAATTTTCTAGTGTGTAAATAATACAACTCACCCGAAAATTGTAGGAGTGACATGAAATTTCATTCGGTGATAAAATATATAGAATAGAGTAGCATTGCCTAGTTTGTTTTTATTTTTTTATGAGTATTACTATTAATATAATCAGTAAGTCATTTCATTATTTATTAATTATATTTATTCTAATTAGCTTCTAATCATTTTTCCACCTTTTGTAAGGGGGAGGGGGTGCATGGTGGCACTCTCATGTGTGAGGAGGTGGTGTTTGTTGCACCTTACTCGCGTGCAAGAAAGATTTATAGCCTCTTAACTTTGGGCTAAAAGGTCAGAGGCCTTTCTAATCCCATGGTGCCTTGGGCTTTTTTATATTGTTGGTTGTATAGTAGGTGTCTTATACTTTATCAGCCATATCCTACGAGGAAAATGTTATATACAGCTTATTTTTTAACAGATACTCCTCATTTTCTATATATTTTGTTAATTTCCTTAAATTCTCTTCTAAATTTCCTTGGAATGTTAAGATCATTCTAAAATTGTGTTTTCTGATTTGTAAAACACACTTATTGAAAGTACTTTTTCTTTTTGAAAAGAAATACTTTTACTCTTTCGAAAAACATTTTTTAGGAAAAGTTAAAATATTTCAAATTTAAAATGGTTTTTCCGAACACATATTTTTGTCTCCCAATAATTAACTATTGTGAGTGAACCCTTGTCCGGCTGTGAATTTTCTGAAAACCGTGGTTTCTAAAAAATATTTGTCTCTTTTAATCTGTTGAATCTTTGTTTGAAAAAGCTTGGGTTCATACCAATTTAATGGGATTGGATGGGTGAGAGATATTAACTCAAAATGGTACATTGGGTATAATTTGTTTTTTCAAAAATCAAAACAAATCATACCATCTTAGTACTTCTTTGGGGTGCTTATAGTAGCTTAAAAATAAGAATTGGTGCTTACAAGTCACAATGGAATTATCCTACCTGGCAAGAAAAGATTCAAAATTTTTGATAGAGTTGCTTGTAGAAGGGATGAAACTTAACACTATGAAATGTAAAAATGAAGAATTTTGATTCGTTTTCCAGATTCAAGGTGGAAATAACAGATTCAGACAAAAAAAAAAAAAAAAAACTCTGCTTTTCACCCTGCGATCAGACCCCCTCCCTCCGTGGCCGGAACCCTCTCCCCGCGCCCACGCCTCCGTGGCCGGACCACCCACGCGCGCAAGCCTCCGTGGCCAGACCCCTGCGCGCGACTCCACGGCCTGACTCCCCTCGTGCGAGCGCCTCCGCGGCCGGAACCACCACCCCGCACACAAGCCTTCGCAGCCAGAACCCCCGTGCACTCGCCTCCGCGGCCGGAACCCCCTCCTCGCGCGCGCGCCTCCACGGCCGGAACCACCTCCGCTCGCGCACGCCACCGCGGCCAGATCCCCCCAGCCCCCGCGCGCCCAGACCTCCATTCCGGGTGGCCATGGTGAGAGAGAGGGGAAGAAAAAGTGAGAGAAACTCAGAAAAGAGAATGAGAGGTAGAGTGAGAGAAGAGAAAGTGAAAGAAGAGATAGCGAGACGAGTGAATCTTCCGAAAAACAAAAAAAAAGAGACTCTGGAAAATCTATAATAATTAATTTTATAAAAATTATCATAAAATATAGTTTAAAGTGTAAAAAAGTGTAATATGAGTTGTAAAAAAATAGGGGTGCTTATAAATAATTTTTATTGAAGCAAAAATTATAAAAATATAATATGAATTGCTTATGAGTAATGTGCCGGTAGAATTCATTTAAAGTGGTTGTAAATGTTCTTATGTGATTCAAATTTTTTTTTTGAGCTAAATCATTTTGTATAAAAAAAAAAAAAGTATGTAATCCGTGTAATTCAGTTTGGAACAGCTTTTTATATGGTTTTGAACTAAAATGAATTTAAAATCAATTTTAAAACCAGTTTTAAATCCCAAATTTGATTTTGAAACTGATTTCCCCTCTCCCTCTAAAATTGGTTTTAAAACTTTTTTTTTAAAATTAATTTTAAGGAAAAGTGGGAGGGGGATGATAAGGCATGTACTCCCCACACTGAAATTGGGTTTTTAGCCCAAATAAATTAAAAAAATAAATAATTATATAAAATAAATTAAAAAAAAATTAATTATTAAAGTAGGTGATTTTTGACACGGAAGCGAACAAGTGGCATAGAAAGCGCAGGGGGAAACGACATTTTCCAGATGGTGCCTCCCCCCGACGCCTTCAATTAATGACGTGGCATGGGCGTGGCACGTGGCATATAGAAAGTGCAGTGGGGTAGGGCGTTTTGTATATGACGCCTCCCCGGCGCCTTCTTCAAATCACACAACGTGGCATGACAATGTTTCTGTGTTAAATGCAGGGTGGGGTTAATGTGTTTTCAAAAAACGCAACCATCCCTTGCGCCTCCTTCTGCTCATCTCATCTGTTCCTTTTGTACTATCCGTTATGAGTTTCTCGGTTTTTTCTTCTCTGGTGATCCAGGTAAGTATTATATTAGGTTTATTTTATTTGGAATTTAATTATTAAAATAGAAAATGTAATGGTTTGATCCAGCTCATCCTCAATAATTAAATTCCAAATAAAATAAACCTAATATAATACTTACCTGGATCACCAGAGAAGAAAAAATCGAGAAACTTAGAACGGATAGTGCAAAAGGAACAGATGAGATGAGCAGAAGGAGGCACAAGGGATGGTTGCGTTTTTTGAAAACACATTAATCCCACCCTGCACAGAAACATTGTCATGCCACGTTGTGTGATTTGAAGAAGACACCGGGGGGGAGGCGCCATCTAGAAAACGCATCAACCCCCTACGCTTTGTATTTCCATGCCACATCAAACATTGAATGCGCTGGGGGGAGGCGCCATCTGAAAATCGCCCTACCCTCTGCGCTTTTTATGTCACGTGTCTGTCTCCATATCAAAAATCACCTACTTTGGTGATTAGTTTTTCTTTTTAATTTATTTTGTGTAATTTTTTTTAATTTATTTAGGCTAAAAAGCCACTGAAATTGATTCAGAGACCAATTAACTAGCAGCCACACATCACTCAAATGGGCTCAACGTGTACTCACCTTATATGGAATGAAATAGTATCAAGTGGTGCTGCTCATAGAGAGTACTAGGGCTCAGAACTTGTACGGTTGTACCCGATTGTAAAAATGTGATTATGGTAAAAAAAAACTAAAAAACAAATTGTAAAACAAAGTTTTCAAGATGTGGTTTGATCCATTTGGTTATTCTGTATACCCACACTGACTATTCAAACTCTTCGCGCAATATTATTTTTTGGTGTTGTCTTGGCCCAATAATAAGTGTTCTTACCAGGGATCCGATGTAGAGATGGTCCGCTGGGTAAGATCAGTGGGCCTCCTTCGCCGGTACGTTGGTTGCTTCAGGATGGGGGTGGTACCTGCAAAAGAGACTCCGATGCTAAAGTTAGTCTTTGTGGGAGTATGAATCTCGTATAAGTAATGCACGTACCTTTGTGTGGATTAGCGTTTTGTTGGGCCTTGGGCCCGAGATTAGTTATGACCTATTTGAATACCGAGCTGACGTCACCCAGCGCGTGTCCGAGGTCACTTTGCGCTGAGATGGTGAGTTTGGGCTCGGCATGGCGGTACGGATAGTACACTAGCTCCCCGAGCTCTGAAGACTGTGGGTCGAGGAGTTAAGACCGAGCTCGTTAAGGAGAAGTGACCCTTCGCGTACGCCTGCCTGTGAAGACGCCATGTGTCATAACTGTTGCTTCGGTCTCGAAAACGTGTGGGCGGCGTGTTAATGGGGAGTGACGGTTATGTGATGATGGTCGTGCCTGCCATAATGGGGCTCATTAAATGTGTCGCTAGTTTTGCCCCCTAGCTGACACGTGTTGTGGCTGTTTGAATTTTGGGGGAAACCTTTTCTTTCTCTCTCTCGCGCCTTTTCCCATTCACTTTACTCTTTTCCTTTGTCTTGTGCTTGACGCCTCTTCATCTTTTTGCTATTCCCGTTCTCATTCCCTTTGTCTCCTTTTTTCTCCGTCACCTTCTCCGGCAACCAGGCTTTCAGTCCCCGATTTCTGTTCTTTCCTTGTCCAAGGAGTACCAGGTACTTCTAATTCTTTAACTCCTCCTTCTTCTAAAATCTCTTCCATTTCTTGATGGCTGGTAACATCGATGTCGCTTCTTCTGCGCCTGCCAAGGGCAAGGGTATGGCGCGCGACAAGGCAGTGGCTACCGGGATGGCCGCCACCGAAAAGAAGAAGGCAGAGAACCCGCCTAAGGATCTCGTCCCCGACATTCTTGGCTACGACTGGGTCAGGCGTGACGTGGGGGAGTGCCAGAGTGTGTTCGGGTTGTTTATGGAGATCAATGCGATTCAAAAAATGCATAGGATCTGTGACTCTTCCGTCTCCAAGTTCATCCGGCTCGAGCCTTGTCGGCCTGATGAGCGTGTCTATATGGGGGGTCGTTCTGACCTTCCTTTCTTTTATGTATACCAATGTTTCTTTAGGGATTTAGGTGTTTGTCTTCCTTTCACTCAATTTGAATGTGGCTTTTTGAATTTCATCAACTCGGCTCCTTGCCAGTTGCACCCCAATAGCTGGGGTTTTTTTAGGGCTTTCCAAGTCCTGTGTTCCGCCTTGGGAATAGGGGTGTCTCTGCCCGTTTTTCTCCATTTTTACCAGTTAAAAATGGGTGTTCCTCCTTATGGCTTGATGTCCCTGAATGGGAGTAAGGTTGGGGGTCTTTTTTCCCTTTACTCCCATTCGTATAAAAATTTTAAACAAGAGTTCTTCCGGGTGGCGCTTGTGGATGTCAACCCGCTAGAGGATGGGGCATTTTATTTCGGTGGGTTGCCGAAGTTCCCCTTCTACTGGCGGCCGGTCCCGGCTAGG